ATAGACCAAAGCCTGCGGTTTGCCCCTCCTGTTTAATTCTGAGCCACAGCCACATGAATGCCATCCTAGCGCTCAGCACTTGGAGTCTTGGGGTCCAGGAGCTTGCAAGTCACCCGTAGCGGCAGGCTTGTGGTGGATCACTCGGGGTTTATCCAACCACTTCTGTGATACGTTCGGGAATCTTCCCCTAGTCTGGGTTGTCAAAGCGAATCAACCGGATCCGACCTTTTCTAGGTCACCCTTTTTGACGTTTTCTGCACTTCCAGCCCCTTTGCCTCGGTCCTTCGGTCTTGAGACCGGTCTCGAGACCGGTAGGCCACACAAGGCGAAGCACAGGAGGGACAGGAGGGACAGGAGGGACAGGAGGGACAGGAGGGACAGGAGGGTGCAGGCGCGCAAGGGGGCGCCGACGCCGGAGCAGAGACAGGGCGGTTCCGCGGAGCGTGCCTTTGTTTTTGCTTAGCATAGTTTAGCATAGTTTGTTTGTTGTGTGATTGCTTGTTTCCTTGCATGTTTGTTTGCTTGGTTGATTGGTTGGTTGGTTTGATTGGTTGCTTGGTTGATTGGTTGGTTGGTGCGTGGGTGGGTTTTCTTGCTTGTTTGTTTCCTTGCATGTTTGTTTGCTTGGTTGATTGGTTTGATTGGTTGCTTGGTTGGTTGGTTGGTCGGTTGGTTGGTTGGTTGGTGCGTGGGTGGATTTTCTCGCTTGTTTGTTTTCCTTGCTTGTTTGTTTGCTTGCTTGGTTGATTGTTGGTTGGTTTGATTGGTTGGTTGGTTGATTGGTTGGTTGGTGCGTGGGTGGGTTTTCTTACTTGTTTGTTTCCTTGCTTGTTTGTTTGCTTGCTTGGTTGATTGTTGGTTGGTTGATTGTTGGTTGATTGGTTGGTTGGTTGGTTGGTTGGTTGGTCGGTCGATTGGTTGCCTGATTGCTTGCTTGTGCTTGTTTCCTTGCATGTTTGTTTGCTTGTTTGATTGGCTGGTTGGTTTGATTGGTCGGTTGGTTGATTAGTTGGTTGGTGCGTAGGTGGGTTTTCTTGCTTGCTTGTTTGATTGATTGCTTGCCTGCGTGGTTGATTGGTTGGTGGGTGGGTTGGTTGGTTGCGTGCGTGCGTGCTTTCTTGGTTGTTTTTTCTTTTTTGTTTCTTTGATTCTTAGTCTTTATTTGTTTGCTGCTTGCTTGCTTTACTTTGCTTTGATTTTGCTTGCTTGTTCTTTGTTTCTTTGGCATCGTCCTTTTTGTTGAAGGAGTATGTGTGTTTGTTATTTGTGTTGTTGTTTGGAAGCTGCGTGTTTGGTAGGTGGTTGTATTTTAAGACCCTTGTTTGTGTGATACTTTTAGCATGTTCAAAGGGCGCTGTTTCTTTGGACATCATCTTTTTTTTTGTTTCCTAAGGAAGATACTTTTGCGCATTGGTGTTTCTTTTCCGAATAAAGTTGTTTGTTTGTCCCCTCCTGATCAACGGGCGATGTTTGTTTGGCGCGTTTCGTCTGATTATTGAGTTTTTGTTCCTGTTTTTGAAAGCTGTTTGCTTGGCATCTTTACTTCTCTTAAAGGAAGTTATTTCTTCTTTTCTGACAGGTCTTGAGTTTGGTATGTGTCTCCGGACCTTCCCTGCAGCAATATGTTTTCGATATGTATATTTTGTTGCAGTTACTTGTTTGGAATGCTCCGTCTCTCAGGTCAGTTGTTTGGTGGCGGCTCTGTTCCGAAGCCGAGGGCAGGCCAAGCCCTTGTTTGACTGTGCCGTTGTGGTTGCGTACAGAACCTCCTTTTGGTTTCCCTTCAAGCGTGACCCAAAGTCTTACGGTCCCTTCAAGCGTATTTGAGAGATGGACTTGGATCGATTACTTTTTGGGAGGATTTCCTCTAAGCCTCTAGATGTCATTTGTTGATACCCGGAAGTGGCGTAGAAGGAACTTTAGGCTGCTTTGTAGTCATTTGTTCGTACTTTTACATGCAACATGTGCTGGTTTGCATGTTCCAATCATGGGTTATTTTATCGTTTAGGTGTTCATCACTTTCTGAAGGTAGGGCATTCTTTGTGAGCCGCATTTGCTCGCAGACACAACAACTGCCTGCATGTGACTTGCTTGTGGCCTCCTTGAAGGTAAGCTCCAATCAACCAGCGAACCAGCGAACCACCCAACCACCCTACCTCCCAATCACCCAACCAGACAACAACGCAACCGCCCCACCACCCAACCACCCAACCAAACAACCCAACCAACCACCACCCAACCACCCCACCACCCAACCACGCAACCACTCCACCACCCAACCACCCAACCACCCAGCCACCCAGCCACCCCAACCACCCAACCAGACAACAATACAACCACCCCACCGCCCAACCACCAAACCACCCAAACACCCCAACCACCCAACCAGACAACCACACAACCACCCCACCACCCAACCACCCAACCACCCAACCAAACAACCCAACCAACCACCACCCGACCACCCCACCACCCAACCGCCCAACCACCCAGCCACCCAGCCACCCCAACCACCCAACCACACAACAACCTAACCAACCACCACCCAACCACCCCACCACCCACCACCCAACCACCCAACCACCCCACCACCCAACCACCCAACCAACCACCCAGCCACCCAGCCACCCCAACCACCGAACCAGACAACAACACAACCAACTCACCACCCAAACACCCCAACCGCCTAAACACCCCAACCACCCAACCACCCAACCAGACAACAACACAACCACCCCACCACCCAACCTTCAAACCACCCAACCACCCCAACCACCCAACCAGACAACAACACAACCACCCCACCACCCAACCACCCAACCACCGAAACAAAGAGCCCAACCAACCACCGCCCAACCAACCACCCAACCACCCAACCTCCCACCACCCAACCACCCAACCACCCAACCACCCAGCCACCGAGCCACCCCAACCACCCAACCAGACAACAACACAACCACCCAACCACCAAACCACCAAACCACCCACCCACCCAACCAGACAACAGCACAACCACCCCACCACCCAACCACCCAACCACCCAACCAAACAACCCAACTAACACGTCACAAGCCGCGCCCCCGTCCTGCCTCCCCAGGCCTTTCGCGAGAAGGAAGCGGCTGACTGCGAGCAAGTTCCACTCCTGCCCAGCCCTTCGGCCGGCGCCGACTGACAGAGCCTGCGCGTGGCCTGGAAGAACATCCACCTGGAAGTCGCCCGCGCGGCTCGGCTGCACGTCGCGCCCTCTTGCTCCCAGGCTGCCGTTTTATCAATTCAAGGCCTATAGTAGCGCTCGGAGCTTCCGCTGCGCCTTCAGGAGGCCGAGAGCCCCCTGCAGCCGCTGCTGCGGACAAAGCGCGTCGGGCCTGAGCCGATCGCTCTGGGCACTCGGGGCGCGCTTAAGTCAGGCCAGGCGGCTTTTGGGCTTGTCTCGGCGCTCGACGTTTTTTCTTGACAGGTTTCGGCCGTTACCGCAAATCGCGCAAGCAGCGCTTGCTGAAGGGCGGCCTGACGTTGCCGCGGCCTGAGCGCGCGCCAAGTGTTCGCTCGAGCCGCAGTTTGCTCCGCGCAAGGCCTGGGACCTCTGGATGTGTGACTGCGGCAGCGGAGGGGGACCTGCCCAGCATCCTCGCCCCGCACCAGGTCATCTGCGTGGACGGCGTCGCCCAGAAGGGGCTCGTGGCGGCCGCGCGCTCCGGGCTCGACGCTATCGCTCGCCTGGGCTCGCGCTTGTTCTTCAATCGCCGCTTGCAGGTGTGGCGCTGCCCGTGCTACAGCGTCCGCGACGTCCAAGTCTTCGAAGCCGTCTGCCCTCCGCCGGGCACACCAGTTCCCAGGAACTGCATCGTGTACTCGGCGGAGGGGTTTGGCAACACTGACATGGCAGGAGCCCCGCAGCCTCGCAAGTCAAGCCGCTAGCCTGCAGCCCGCGCTCGCAATTTTGTCTGCGCGCAGGAGGGGACTCGGACGGCGACGGCGTGCTCTTCTCCTTCTACTGGCCGCTCGTGCGCCTGGTCCTGGAGACCGCGGACGACGTCGCCAGCTGCACGCCAATGCTGGAGGCCCTGGAGAAGGACGCAAATCGATCGGGCTCCGTTTCGAGCGCCCTCGCTCTTCCCGCCGCCCGCAGTTGCTCGGGCGCGCTCCCAGGAAGTCCACGCCCTTCCCGCAGGGCGCCACTTTCGAAGAGCGCCGCTGCTCGGCCGCGCAACTCTTGCGAGTTTCTGCGCAGCTTCAGTCCGGGGAGGCACTTAGCACTGACTGCAGAGCAATATGATATATGTCTGCGCCAAATGTGTAAAATAAGCTCAAAGCAAAAAAGCAAATAAACCACGCAGACTTCTTGGCATGGATGGGGTTTGCATTTTTGAGTCGCCAATTTAGACTATTAGAGGCCCACTTGGGCATTGCGCGCGGCCCTTCGCAAGCTTCTTCAGGAGCTTCTTCTCCCTAGCAGTGAGCTCCAGAAGGCAATGAACAGAATCGAGAACATTAAGCGGAAGAAAACGACAGTCCAGCGCGGCATCTGGAGTCTATTTGGCGCGTCTACACGATCCTTTTGCGCTTGGGGAGTCCGCGGGCCTTGAGGAAAACTATGAAGAACCAAACAGAGCGCACAAAAGTGCAAAGCAGTGCGACAAAAGCGCGGCCAGCCAATAGGCCTCGACAGAAACTGCGAAAAAAAAGCGGAACAAACTTTGAACGCGCGCGGGGTTTCCGCAGCGGAGCTCAATAGTTTTCTGGGTTTGCGCAGCTCAAGTTACAAAATAATTACTCTCGCATTTCCAGAGGCTACCTGCCATCCAGACTGGCTACGTTGAGTACTTGGCCGGAGCCTCCACCGCCCACGCTTGCGCCCATGCCCCAAACACAGGCTTGCGGCCTCTTCGACCGGGCGGCCTATCTGCTCCTCGACGGCTTCACACTGGACGCTGTGGGAGGACCGCTGTCTGCAAGCGCCGCGCGCCAGCCCGCGGCAGCGCCCTCGCAGGAGCCCGCCCGGTTGGGGAAGAGGCCCAGCTCCTCTACGCGGCGCTGGCGCAGGCCGTCCTGGCGCACCACGCCGCGCGCTCAGCCTCCACTTTCGTGCCTCGCTTCTCCCTCGCGCGCTTCAGGCTTGCGACGCTCCGAAGAAGTTCCCTACCCTGGAGTATTGGCGCTTTGCCAGCGGGGTCTTCCGGAGCAACTGCGACGTGCAGACAGGGCAGGAGAAGTGCTAGCCGCGCGCTCTTCCATCGTTTCTTCGCCGGTCGCCGGCTTTTTCTTTTGCTTTGCCGCGTCGGCCAGGAGTTCAAGTCCAGCGTCTTGGCTAAGGCGGCGCTGCGGGTGGCGGGGGAAAGCATCCGCGAGACGAGGGACCAGGCCATCAAGCGGGTGGCGCCTCAGCTTAAGATGTCAGCCGCACGCCAAGCTAGATAGCAGCGTTTTGTTCTCTCAAGCGCCGCGCGGTCGGCCGTCGAGGCGGCGTGTGGGCCCCCGCAGGCCGGGCGGCGAGGGCGCTAAACAATCTCTTGAACTGCACGAACCGTTGCCCTCAGGAGCCAGGATCGTTCTTGGGGCGCGCGCCGCGGGCTTCCTCGCAGATCACAGGGAGAGCGGACAGCCGCTGCGCTGGCCGCTAGGTTGCAAGAAGCCCGTTCTTTCGCTCGCTCTTTTTGGGTCCGGCGCCGCAGGATCCAGGACAGACGCCACTCGGCGAGGTCAATGGCCTCGTCTACCAGAAGCTGGCGTCCAAGTTCCGCGCCTACAGCCGCTGGCCTGCGAAGCGCGTGACCGCGCGGGACCCGTTGCGGTTTCGGTTCGTCTGCGCGGCCCCGAGCGCGCCCCGCGCGGCCAGGACATGCTGGCGTACATTCGCAAGTCGCGCCCCGGCCGCTCCCCGTCCTAGACCACACTGTGGAATCTCCACACCGCGCCTCCGCCTCAGTCGCTCAGCTTGGAGCTCGGCTTCGTCGGGCTGCGAGCGCTTGTTTTCTCCACCCCCAGGGTGCGGCGTAGCAACTTGCTGAAACCACAACAGAAAACATTCGTGGGTGGTCCAAAGGGTCCTCAACGTTCGCGACAGACCGGAGGGTCTACTTGAAAGCTGAGACCAAACTGCCACCCCATCGTCAATTGCGCGAGCGCCTGCCGCGTTTCTTCTAAGGTGAGCCCCGTGATCCCAGCACGCGCGCCAGAAAAAACATCGCCCTGGAAGAGAGAAAAAAAGGCGGCGAGTTCGCGGCCGGCCCTCGTTCGCGCTTGCGAGCGTACTTTGTTTTGCGCGCGCCGAGGTGTCTGTCCGCACGCCTGCGCCTCAGCTTCTAGCTCGCGCGGCCAAAAGCCGCTCGGCGCAAGGCGCGATCAACCCACCCAACCGCCCCACCACCCCACCACCCAACCACACAACCACCCAGCCAAACAACCCAACCAACCACACCGCCCCAGCACCCAACCACCCCAGCACCCAACCACCCAGCCCAACAACACCCCACCGCCCCACAACCCAACCTCCCCACTACCCACACAACCAGCCGGCCACCCAGCCGCCCAACCAGACAACAACACAACCACCCAACCACCCAAGCACCCAACCACCCAAGAGCTTGGGCATTTAAGAGCAATCAAGTTGGCTGGGTTTTTGAAGACTCTCGAATTGCCTTCGGTCCCACAGTCCAGTGTTTTTCTTGTTGCTGCGCCCTTGGATGGTTTGGAAGACCAACGGGTGACCAACCATTTCCGTAGTCAGCAGCAACCTTGTCGATTTCAACGACCCATTTCTTTCTATAGTAACAACCAGATAGCACATGGACACCAATTTCCTGGTTGAAATCTCCAAATGTGAAGTGTAGCTGGCTAGGCCAAAGCGAGAGGCCGCTCCGGGGGGGTCTTGGGAGCTGGCGTTTGCTGGCTGTTGCTGACGGGGGCCTCTGTTGTTGGTTACAGCCAGCCCTGTTGGTTTCTTTTGAGAGTTCCATTTTTTGGATGGTGTTTCAACTTGTTGTGTTTTCCTGGGGGGGTCCCCTATGTTAGTACATACCCGCATGTTGTAAGCGTTTTCTATCCTCCAAACAGTGCTGCGAGGTTTCTTCCCCGGAAAATTCACATGGGGCCATGACCTTGACCACACTGCCGGCCATTTGAGGGCAGTTTGCCTAGCCCATCATCCACATTTAGTGGGCAGGGATGCGGCCCGAGTTTTGGCTTTTGACCAGGAGCAGTCCCAAGCATAAGACCATTTAACTTGGAGGCTCCCCGCCATCCCCTTTAGCCTTTTAACCTTTTAGCATTTTTGTGTTTAGTGGCAGTTTCCATTTAACCCACTAGTTAAATTTTTAGCAGGGGATCTGAGGGCAGCCCATTCAACACCAGTTTTGCATTCCTACTTTGCTTACACTTGAACTCTCCGGCGGGTCGATTTTTCCGCGCAAGTCGTCTGAGGGAACCGGGGTTTGTTGGACGCACGCAGATGGCCGAGCCATTCAACTCGGCAGTCCGCAAGATCTTCCCTGGTTCAAAATGGCTCGTAGTTGTCTCCAAAGGGAACCAAAGGGGATGAGCTTGTGTCATCAAAAAAACCTGTTGCAGTGGGAGCCCCCAATGTGGATGATGGACGTATGGAAGGTTCATGTGCAAAGATCAGGATGATGGATGTGAAACTTGACAGATGTGTTCACACCTTGCAGCACAAGTGAGTTGTGTTGGTCATGGCGCCTTTGAACGCAAAAGTAACACATGAACGTACCGATTTGCCAGGAAAGCGTATGGGAGCACCTAGACTTTAGATCTGTGACCAATCCCCTCAAGTGAGTGTGGCTCAGAAGTGGGGCATTTGGGGTACCTGGAAAGAACACATTGGGGGGAAATTTCGGGGCTACCTGAAAAGTGGCCGCGGGGGGTACCTGGAAAAAAACATTGGGGGGATTTCTTTCCGAGGCATTTGGGGGGTACCTGCAAAGTCTCCGAACTGGGTATGGGTCAAAGTTAAACCACCAGGGGACCGCAGGGTTTAGTCCATGTTTCCACTTACCAGCGCAACCCATTTGGGGTACACTTTTTTGACCCAGAGCCAACTCGAAAGTGCTCATGGACACCATTTTGGAGTCCAGAGCGCCCCGGTCACCTCCAAGTTCAATGGCCCGAGAGAGAAGCGATTTGGCGGCCCAAACGATTTGGCGGTTGAAAATGGAACAAGAATGACGACAAGAGATCATTCAATCTGTTACGTTAATTGGTCCAGAAGGAAGAAACTGGTAGGATGGGTTGGTGATCCGTTGGACCAGGTTTCAAGCGGCCGAGGGTTCGTCATTGGGACCATTCTGTGCTGGGGCTCCAACAAGGTTCATCCGTGTCAACGCCAGGGATGTTCCCATGTCCGTACATACTCGCTTTTCCATGTGCAGAAACTCTGGGCATCTTTTTCCGAGCCCACCGTGTTGAAGGTAGCACCAAGGATGCGCCGTCTTTGCCAAGTGTGGCTGGCAGGTTGCTCGCTTGGCTTTGCAAGTATAGGGAAACAGCTTCTTTTAAACGTTTGGAGGTGCGGGTTTCCCAATTGCCCACAAGAACCAGGGCTTCAACTCCTGCAGGTCCAAACCACGAAGGATTCCAGGGCTCCAATCGCCGTCTGCCGAACACACGGGGCCGCGAGAGCGGCCACGTCTCGCAGGGGCACGTCCAACAGCCTCCGGGTCTGGGGCCCCGATCGCCCGATCGGGGGGCAAGGTGCAGTCAGGCCTCGATGCACAACCAGTGCTAGCCCTACCAGTGTCCAAGTACCTGCAAGAAGATACTTAGACCCCTTTTTGGTCCCTTCCAACCCATCAACAACACCTTCTTTCGAGTTGACCTCTGACGACCTCAGGCACGATGATGCCTTTCACGTGCTGTATGGATATGCAGATACACATGGTAGCCCCTATTTTACATGCAATCTATGCTTGTCCAATATTGTTGCATATGTATATATACACATGCATACACATATGTACATGACAGATGTGTGGCATGTGTGTTTGTGGTATACCTACACCAGCAACTCGTGGCTTCTGCAAACGCCTCCCCGAGGCTTTGGAAGACGCCACTCTGGAGGCCCGACCGGATCTGGGCCTTTGGTTTCAACCCCCGTTTTTGGGTGGGTTTCCCCAGGGGTTCTTTCAGGGCTTCTTTCAGGGGTTCCCAAATTTTTGGGCCGGTGCGCGTTGTTTCCCCTTTTTTCGGGGGGGGATTTCCAAAGGGTTCAAAAAACCGGCTGTGGGAAGGCCCCCATCGGTTTCTGGTTCCCGTGATGGTGGTTCCGAAAGGCGATCGCCTCTTATCGGGTCCAATGAGTTTGGGAAACGGGGTTGGGCTTGCCCATCTGTTTCTGGTGGCATTGTTGGATATTCATGTGCTTGTGAACATATTGGTTTTGACAACTTCTCAAAACTGCTCTTGGAGGTTTAGGGCGTCAATGGGCGTCAGGTGGTACGATTGTTGGATTTGAGAATTGGATTTGACGCAGCGTTCTACTCCATTCTTGATGGGAAAGTCCGGAAGGGCGGCATGCAAGCTCCTTCCGAGTGTTCGACTTGTTCCTGAGGCCCAAGGACCTTTGCAAGGTCAAGGGATCTTCTTGCAGAAAGCCCTTAGATTCTTTACATGGGGTTGGTAGACCGCTTTAGTACCAGGTCTTGATTGTGCATGTGGGGTTTGGCCCCCTCTCAATCTCTTGGGGTACCTTGGGCCAACCTGAGCCACATGTGAGATGTCGGGGCCGCATCGGGAACATGATCTTGACTCTCTGCAGTCTGCAGGAAATCACCATGGTTCCCAAAGTGGGTGGCTTCCACTTGGAGCATCCTTGGCCCATGCTTTGACGGTCTCTAGAGGTGTTCAAAGTCAGACACTTGGATTTTGCTTGAACTTTCCGCTTGGGGGGTGACTTTGATTCACGGTGAGATAATGAACCGAAATGGCAGACACGCCCAGATGAGATGGATTTGTTGTGTTGTCTCTTTCTCCGCGGCCTTCCGCCCTCCCAATGACAACCCCGGCTTAGTCGACGTGGTGGATGACAATTGTGTCTAAGGAGGGGGAGGCACCCCCGATCAACATTTGCCCGGGGTTCAGTTTGATGGGTCAGCAGCAGTGAGAATATCCCCATGGAGAACTCCGTGGACAGTGTCCTTTTCAGGCTAAAGTTTGGTTAGAAATAGTTGGCACCGGTATAGATGGGTTTATTCAATTTAACAGGCCACTATTTACCAAAAGGACACCCATGACTTGCTAATCCTTTTGCTACTCCTGAGTTGCTGGACTAGTCACTTGGGTTTGGACCATTGGTCAACAAAGAAATTTTGTTACACTCCTTACCTTTTGTTTGGTCAATCCACTCGACTCGATGGGAAGTGGGGTCAATCCTTCGACCTCCGGTCCCATTCAGCCAGGAGCTTGCGAGCGCATTGACCACGCAGCTGGGCAAGGCGCCCTTGTTGCTCTTTGGGGCGGAGGCTTTGGTGGACGTTATATATATATATATATGTTTATATAGTTCCCAAATTTTGAGGCAAGCCCATGTAGTCCCGACCCTGTTGGTGCTTTTCGACATCATCTTGGAGCCATTTCAGACAGGTCGATGGGTCGATGTGTATAGGTTTTATGGGTTGGAATTCCAGCCGCCCCTTTTTTGAGCCGATTCTTGGGGCGTGTGATGGGTGAGACCCGGCTTTTTGTCCAATATTCGAAGGGGGTCCAAAGAGCACATTGTTTCTGGAAACGATCCCGGGAAACGGGCTGAAGTGACCTTCTTGGAACATCGGCCCAGGGTCGACGATATTTCAGGACTTCTTTCCCAGCCTGGCGGGTGCCTCGTAAAATTATGAATGGGGCAAGGGTGGTCAACATTCAAAGGGGGTCGACAAAAGCGCCGCCGTTTGCTCGTGTTTGCATCAGTGCTGCTCTCGTCGCCTTTGGGCAAACGCAGATTGGATGGCTCACTTCCTGTTTGGGAAGACCATTTTGTTGCAAACCAAAGGTTTGGACTTTTCTCTGGCCAGGAAGTGAGATGGCCACGCTGTCCCGAAACCGCACCAAACCCAGTGCGTTTCACCCTGGTCAAAACAGAAACCGGAACTGGGATCCGATTTTCCATTTCCTCGCGTTCCGTTTCCAGAAGTCTTGGGAAAGCTTCCAGCCGGTTTGGTCCCTGGGCAAACTCAAGCCAACTGCTTCGTTTTTGAGAAGGGAAACGGGAAACCACCACACCGAGCCAAATCGAAGGCTTTTGTTCGACGAGAAGCGGTGCAAAATGAGGAAACCTTCGGCCATCCAGGAGGAAGAGCGGGTGCAGGTGAAGCTTCAGAAGGTGCAGCAGGCCGAAAAGGCCTTGGAGGAGCGATCGATCAGCTCCGCGTAAAGAAGTCGCGACTCGTCGGTTGATCGGTTAATAAAATTGCCCCGTTTGCTTGTTGGGTTCGAAACCCACCAAAAAAACAATCGGCTTCCAAGGCTGTTTCTAACAGTGGGCAACTGGGTTTTAGACAACTCACTCCCAGAATCATTTGGGGGTGCCGATTTTGCGGAGGTTGCGGGGCACAGATGGCTCACATCCAAAGTTCCCGGACTATTCTACTGGCTCATTCTGTTTTTGAGCCCAGACAAAAAAACCGGCTGCAAAATCTGACGCCCCTCCATTACCTCCATTAGTGTATAAGCTTCATTTGAGCCTGACAATGGCGTCCAGGCACTACTTTTCGTTGGAGCGCCCTTGTGGCGTCCATTTTCCAGGCTTTCTTCTTTTCAATCCGACACGACGCCCAAGTCGCAATTCTCCGAATTGGTCGTGTGGTTTGGCAGTTTGAAGGTAACTCGGGCACCGTTCCCTTTGGTTTCAACTTCCAACCTCCAAACCAAGGGGCGTGCCTGGAAAGGGGTCCGTCGGCCCACCCCAAGCCGAAGGATTTCGTTCGCTCAGCTGGCTTGGGGTGTTTTTTCCCCGGAGAATGCACCCCACTTTTGAAGCTTTTTCCGGAGCCGGCGGGGTCCCTGGGTTCCGCCGGCTTCGTTTTTTTTCTTCTTTTTTTTTCTCTTGTTTTCTTCCTTTTTTTTCTTTTTCCGGTAGATCCCACTGGATCCAATCCAAAACTCAGGTCCAGGCGCCAGGTTCTCGCCGCGGAGCCCCCGCGCCTCTCCGCCTCTCCGCCTCGCGACTCGCGACTCGTCCGCTTCGATGGCCTAGGAGAAGCGGCAACAACTGCAGCTCCTGGAGAAGCGGATCTTCGCCCGGGCCTTTTCCAAGTCCAGCAATCTTTTAGGCTTGGTGCGATAGGCCGGGTTTTGGCCTTGCCCAGTCCACGCCATCTTTTAGGCTTGCTGCTGCGATAGGTAAGGTTTTGGCCAGTGCCCTGCCATTTCTTTTACCGTTTCTTTGGTGGGGGAGGGTTTTTTCTCCGACTAGAATAGACCACAGAAGAACGGGTAGCCTTATTCTAGCCTCTCTACTGGAGGACCTAGTAGGGAATGTGCTGGAATGAACCCAGGCTTTGGTCCTCAAGGAAGCCAGATGGAATGTTTTTTTTTTGGGGGGGTCAGTCCAACTCATTCCCTGCTGAGCACCAGCAAGTAGGGGTGATGTTTCAAGGGATGGGGTACACTGCTTTCGATCATTCGCCTCAAGATGTGGACGCATCTGATGAAGAACCCCCTGCTGGATGTTGATCGGGGGTATCCTCTTTTAAAGGGTATCACTCACTTTTTGGGGAGGAACACCTCCCCGATTCACTTGCCAGGTATATTTTTATTTGGGTTGACCTCAATCTTTTTTCAAACCGCCGAACCCGCGCGAGGCCTTCATGGACTGCAAGGACGAGGTCATCGAGTTGAACGTGGGAGGCGGCTTTGGGCGGCTTCGGTGGGCGGTGAAGCCGGGGCGTTTCAGGGCGGCCGTGTGAAGCTTCGGTTCATCAAGAGATCCCTTCCTTTTTGGGTGGCGAATCTGCATTCAGCTGGAAATACCGGGTGGATTCCCAGGAAGAGACGGGGAGTGGCAATTCCAATTCCAAGGATTCAGGTTGGGTGGCGAATCCGTATTTAACTGGAACCAGGTAGCCAGAATTTCCAGGAAGAGAAAGTCCGCGATTCCGACTCTGAGGATTCGGGGCTGATCCAAAATGGATCTTCATTGGAACCCATAGGTGGGGCTTCAAGCTTTTCGGAAACTTGGTGCTCACTCCACAGAACCTGCCGGCGTTCTGTGCGAATTCGTGAGCTGAAGGAGAAGATGTGGATTCGGCGTCGAGTTGTTTAGGGCATGTTTGCCGCCGGCGGATTGGGCGATCGTCGAATACCAGCTGGAATTTCTACGAGGACATAGCCAAAGACGCGCCAGGATCAGGGGTGGCCAACTTGCAGAGTGTTCGATCTGCTTAGATCCAAGATGCATGGACCCTTCAATGCCTTCCAGCCAAGCCCCACTTTCGGGGCCTTAAGGTTTTAGCTTTGCTCGACCGGGGGCCTTTGTAACTCAAGTGGCCGTTTCACATCTCGTTTGGGACCAGGCGGAACTGAATCTTGCCTAAATCATATCACAACTGTTGGCGATGTCAAAAGAGATGTGGACAAGTTTCTGGATTTTGACTCGTCGATTTCTTTTAGACATGTTTTATTGGAATTTCCGTTTGCGATTTTCTATGAATTTTCCTTCGGAATTTTCTTTTGGTCGTCCCTTCGTGTCTTTTTGGTCTTGGATCTCCTGGGTTTCGATTTCCTTCGGTTTCGGTCTTCTTTGGAGGTCAGCACATAAGCACCACCCGGGGTGTGCTCTGCAGCGCAGACGGCTCCATGCTGGCAGGTGCGAGCCCTCGATGCGCGAAAATCGTTTCGATTCGATTCGAATTGAGGTGACAACAGACAGTTCATCGGCGGAATAAGAGTTTATATATACACTATATATGCACACCATGTTTTTAAACCTCCTGTTGGTTTTAAAGGGAATCAAGCTGTTGATTTTAGATCTGCCACTACTGGAAACAAACACATGTCAAGGGGACAAAGAACGCAAGAATGGAGGAACACCTCAGAAGAGGCTCGCTCCCCTTCGGCACAGACCATGTGTTTCGTTCAACTCACGGGGCCCGCGAGTGATTTTTGGGTCGTTTTTCGATATCCATGAGGCGTGGCTTACAATCGAAGGAGGCTTGAGTTGTGTCTATTCTTTTCGCAGCGCCTTACTTCTTTCACTTTCCTGACTTGGAGGGCTCCAAGAAGCAACACTGAATGAGAAACGACTTGATACAACATGGGTTCGAACTTCAATCCTGCCATTCGGGGCGGCCATGGGGCGGCCACGCGTACAGGGAGTCAATCACCTATCTAATTAGCAAGGATAGTTTTTTTATTGTTCCAGGCACAATGCGTTCACCATGCTCGGGTCGTCCTTTGTCAGGTGTGGGCGAGTGAATGCTGCAAGCCAAGGGCAGACCTGGCAGCTATCGTAAAAGACCTTGTCACTCCTACAAATCAAACGGCAGATGGGCCATGAAAATATGAACCTGTCTAGACTTCGGATACATTTTTACATTTTACCAGTGACTCAAAGTGAAGCAAACAATAACATATACATTGTATGACTGGGCCTAACTCTAATCATGTGAACACGGATCTATTTCGTCACCAAGTCTTGATAGTTTTATGATCCAAAGATCAACTTTGCTGGGGGGCCAGTTTCGATGGGAGTCGTGCCCCCAGGCCCCCAACAGGGGATGCACGAAAGGGTGAATCTGGGAACCAGAGACAAATCCAGATGGGTGGCTCGCCCTTTTTTTAAGGGTACCCCATTTTGGGTTGTTTTGAAGGAAAACCACAAGGACAACCACAGTTTCATTTTTCTTGTTTCCTTTTTTTTTGGGTGGGGGGTCCCCTACAAAAAGGATATGCCGATATGGGGGTGCCTTTTCTTTGAGGGTACCTTTTTTGGGTGATTTTGAAGGGACACCAAAAGGAAGCCCTCAATGTAGGGGATTCCCATATGAGTCCCCCGGGTCCTTTTTGTAATGCTTCATTGGTATAGTTTGTACAGCTTCCCGTGGACGCATCCACAAGGCAGCAGAGAAACACCCACGGCCCATGTAGTCTTCTATTTCAAACATGCAATCATTGTTCAAACAATTCTCACCCTCACTTCCTGAGTTCCTGGACTTAACACTTTTTGGGGCAGACCATTTTTGGTGGTAAATAAGTTCCTGGGCCTTTCTTGCTCGATCGGACGTGAGCACCAAAGAGTCCCAAAGTCACTTACTGAGTTCAGAAACCAAGGTGGACCAATTTGGTGTTGTCTTCCAAAATGCACCTTTCCCTCCTTAGTTTCCCTCTTGGTGTCCCTTTTTTCCCTCTTGGTTTCCCTGTTTAACACAACACGTTGGGTACATCTTTTGGGTGTGCCTTCCAAAAGGCGCCCTCCGAAACGGCCCGATGGCCCGCTGGAACGAGCGCCAGGCATGTTCTCGGGGAACTTCGACAGCGGCCACCAGCGAGACAAGGCGTCGGGAGCTTTCGGAAGCTGAGCTTCGAACCGTATACATATATATATATATGGTCACCCCCCCCAAGATCTACCTCAGGCGTAAAACACCGTAAGGTTGGGGGTGAGCATAAATACATAGATACATATATATATATATATGGTCCAGTGCCCCCCCCCCCCACCGTAATCACTGGTCACGGGACCATATATGTATATATGTATATGTTGAGAATGGTTTCAACGGCTCCTGGTGCACGATTTGTGGTTAAGATTCTGGATCGCTGAGTCACCAATATCGTTGCCTTCAATGCGGGCCTGGTAAATTTCAAATTGAAATATGAAATGGAGCCTGAAGAGAGGGAGGCTAAAGAGAAACCACACGTTTTTCGGGGTTTCCTTGCTGCATTCAGGGCTTGCTCTCCTGGCTTTCAGGCCATGTGCCAAGGCAAAAGTGGACCATAGGGATGCTTTAACCGAACCTCTCGTGAGCTCGTTGAATGAAGGCGCGGCTGTGGATTTTGCGGGCGGACAAACCCAAATTTATCCTCACGGCCTTGCGAGAATAGCATGTTTTGACCGGGGTTCATGATTCGGGGGAGTATATCGGTTGAATGACAACAGGATTCCACGGGTTCGTCAAGTGCTTGAGACTTGAACTATTGTCTTTTCTGGCAAGTGACTTGTCTTGGCAAATCCTGACAAGCTGGGCCACTTTGGGCTTTCTAGCCCCAAAGGGGGGGGGGAAACCAGCTAATGTTGACTCCATATTCATCAACCCCAGTTTACAAATACGGGGGTGTCCCCCTCCAGAAACCCCATCAATAAACTGGGGTTGATCAACTAATTAGGTCCAAAGAAGCTAAAAATAGACTACAGAAAAAAAGGGTACCCTTATGCTAACCTCTCAAATCTGGAGGACCTAGTTATATGGGTTCAACGTTCGCGGGGCACTTGTCGGGGGCATGAAAAGAAGCGGCCCCAGGAGGGTCGGATCTTCCTAGACGTGGACCCGCCCCTCTTTGAGAAGGCGAAGAGCGTATTGTGGACCCGCCGGTCTTCTTTTTTTTCGAAGAGCCTGGGTTGGGTAGGGCGTTTCTAGCCCAAACAAGGGGGCTATAGTTTGTTAAAATGCTATAGCTTGTGCTTTCCCTGTTGGGAAGCCTCTATGAGAGGTTCGTGGCACGGGGAGACAGAGAGCCCTCTTCCGTTGCTTGTTTGAAGGAGGCCCACACGGCGCACTTTCGCACACGGTCGTGCAGGTGGTTTTTTTGCGACCTGACCCATGAAGGCTTGCATAGGGAAAGTCTGGGACAACCCCCCCAACGCAAGAGCTGTTGAGCACAGCTTTTGGGCATACGCCAAACTATGAGGAGTCCACTTCTTGGACCTCACAACCAGCAAGCACCCCCGCTCCTACTGGAGCCAAGCCTTGTGGCTTTGGGGCTGGTTTTGGGGCACAGGGGTCGGGATTCCTGGCCTATGCACGCCATGTTTCCATTTGCCATGTCAGCATCTTGAAGTTTGAGTGTAGCCTTTGTGAAACTGGAATGAAGCTTTACCCCTCTTCCCTTTCCGGCGAGCAAGATACCCAAAAGACCTCCTGGGGTATGACAAAAGCCAGCAAACAAATGCCAACGGTTGGGGATGGGATTCCAACAAGCCCGAGGGGTTGCTGGAGTTGAACCATTTGGGGTCTCGATTCTTTCCTAGGAAAACATGGATGGGTGGATTTTCTGGCAACAGGAGTCTCTGTACCAAGCAATGGGTACGCCACCTGTTCGGGGGCACTTTCCTTCGGTGGAGCCCCTTTTTGGTGGGTTCGGCAACCAACGACGGGGCAGCCAGGCAACAACGGGGTTCCCTTCTACTGGGACCACTGGGCAAGCGGGGCATTCCCATTCTTCGAAGAGAAGAGATCAGGCCGAAAGGAGCCAGCTTGGGGATCATCTCGTGGCTGATGTGTTTCACACTCCCTACACCCAATACCCACTGGGACATGATGCCAACTCCTGACGGCAAAGGGAGATATTCATCATGAAAGACCTGGTTTTGCCTAGCATGTCACCCTAAAAACTTGCTGGAATTCAGCAGGCAATCAGGGAATGACCCCCTTTTACCGTCCCCTATGCTTTCCTTTCGAATCCTAAAACGGTTCATTCCCTCATTCCCTGCCCATCGCACCAGGCAAAGTCAGCGACTCGCGCAGGTCTTGAGGCATTTGCGTCTCCGGCGCATCGCCAGCCCAGACCACCCCGCGCCACTGCCCCACGTGCCGGAGGCCAGGGGCCTCGGGGCTGCGAGGTTTGTGGAAGCCCCTGCCATTTGAGTGCCTTGAATTTGAGGCTACCTTTTGCAGCTTGGCTTGGGAAAGCCACACGCGCTCGCACACGCACACGCGCACGCGCACGCACACGCGCACGCGCACGCACACGCACACGCACACGCAGCACACGCACACGCACACGCACACGCACACGCCCATGCGCGCACATGCGCGCACACGCACACGCAGACGCAGACGCACACGCACACGCATGCGCGCACGCATGCGCGCGCGCGCATGCGCGCACATGCACGCGCATGCACGCAAGCACATGCACGCAAGCACATGCACGCAAGCACATGCACGCACGCACGCACGCAAGCACTCACACACACTCCCTACACACAACACGCACTTTCTTTAGGGTATGATGTTGACTCTTTACTCAAAGAAGGAGGTATTTACCTTCAAAAACCAGGTTTTTCACAAGATGCACTAAAAGAGCGTGAATTTGGAGTACGGGGTATGTGTGTGCTGTATGCTGTATGCTTCCATTTGCTTCTTAGTGTTTGTTCTCTATTTGCTTGATGCTTGAATATCCTTTCCAGGGACTAACTTTGGATGGCACGGAACCAAACCTTCTGCTTGCTGCCTTCTTGACATGTTCCTGAAAGAGAAAGCTGGGGTCTCCTCCAAAACTCTGCTATACAGTCGAAAAATGGAACAGAGTCAGAAAATCCCCCAGATTCAGATAACAACCGAGCCCCCCAGCCTGCGGCCTCTAGCATGGCCGCAAGTTTGGCCATGCTAATGCTAAGGCTTATTAATATTTTACCGTGTTAAGCTTGATGTTATTGTTTGGGGTCCTAACTCTTTTTAGGATTATGTATGTTGTTTATTTGTTTGTTTATTTATTTCCATATTTTGTTGGGGGGTTGTTCAGGTAACCCGTGATTGGTGGTTTGGCGTAAGTCGGAAGCCACCCCATAACCGTCAAGGTGAGGGTTCGTGGGGTCCTGACGACGTCTCCTTTTCTTTGTTTCGGATGGGGATTTTCTTTAGAGCCCAAGTTCCATGCAAAATTGCAGCATTTTTTGCCAGACGCTGGAGGCCACTGGATGTCTTGGTCAGAGTTGAGGAATGATCCGAACCTCAGCAACTCAAGTGTTTGAATGCCTGACCGTCGTTCGTGTGTTTGTCCTGGCTGTTTTGGTGGCTTGTGAACGGATCTCAAATCTCCCTGCTCACGCCCCCAAACAGAACGTTTGGGATATCATGGCAAAGCGCAGTATATACTGACTATATTGGGTATGCCCACAAAAGCAGCATATCACGCCTTTCCAAGAGCTGCGTTTGCTCTTGTTAGGACCATGTGATTTTATTTTGCTTTTTTGACAAGGGCGGTCAGTCCAGGCGAGATGGTCTCGATGAGATTTTAGAGTTGGCGACGCCACAATGCATTGAAATGACGCAAGTTTCTTGGTGTCAACATTCAGTTCGCAGAAGTCACCATAGCGGTGTAGGCATTCTTACGTTCATTCTATAATTCAGGGAGGGGGTGGGGGGTCCTACGGGTTGACACTCCCCAGTCTCATCCCTGCAAGCCTATGTTTTACATGCACATATAAATCATTGTGTATATATATATATATGTATATATATATATACATATACATGTCTGAGAGGTGCGTGTATATGATATATATATATATATGTGCCTACATACAGCTTCAGCCAGAGGAGCTGAAGGCGGAATGGGACATGATGATCAAGTACTTCGGCCTGGACAGCTTCATGTGCGAGACCGGTCGATTCGGTCGGCACATCCAAATGCGCACCATCTCCTGAGAAGCAGAGGGGCGACTCACATAGGGTGGTTCGAATTTGCGGGGGGGGAAACGAAGCGGTTTTTAGGTTTGCGACAAAGGACGCCAAAAGGGAGCCACCGATTTGGGGAGGTGCAGCATTCTGAGAACCCACAGCATCCCACTCCAAGAGCCATCGGGGGGAATGATAGCCAATGACAAATGAAGGAGGCACAGGGGTAAATCGGTTCAACGTGGGGCTAAAGGCGGGGAATTTGGGATAAAGCGGAGGCGTTTTGATGCTTGAGTCGGGGATGCCCCTCCTGTGTCTTTGTTGGCCTGTGCTGAGCTTGGCATTCACGTTGCGACGCTTTCACGTTGTTTTCGCCGTGTGAGCCTGTTTTTTCTGTGAGGTTCATGGGTTTGAGCGGCGTTGTTGCATAGCTTGCGAACAAACTCGTGCGTGTGTGTATTTCTTTTGTCCGGGGGAAGTGTCCAATCAAACTAGATCAAGGGGGCCCTTTTGTCCTCTTCTTTTGAGATAAATTCCCCATTTGGCAAGCACAGCCCGCGTTGTCATCTTCTTTCGGGAGGGCTTACACTCAACCCAGGGCTGCTTCTTGCCATCTCTTTTTCGGCAGGGTCTCGACTTTTGCTCAATCCAACTGCAAGAAGCCCATTTCTTCACCTTTTCCAAATTCCACTCAAGCACGTTTGCCCGGTTTGCTTGAACACCTTATGCGGGGTTTTGCCCGCAGAAGAAACACATATATATATATATATATGTATATACATATATATACGTATATGCCTATATGTCTATATGCATATATTATACATGTACATACACAAGGGTTTCGTTTTTTCTGTCTCCTTCAACCGTTTTTTCCTTCAGCCCCGGACCTTTTCCGGGAGACGAAAAGAGGTACGGACCTGCGCCCTTGAGTGTCAACATTTTCGCCAGGCTGCGCGGTGGGCGTGTCGAGTCCCGTGTCGAGTCCCGTGTTTCCTGAGTGAAGACTTCCTTTGTTGCTCACCCCCTATCTCCAATACCCTCGCTTTCTTTTTGTTTAGTGAATTTTGCCCGGAAACCCAACGGTGTTCCAGGGTAAAGACTCATCCCTTGCTTTGGTAAAGGGTCAGCATCATACCCTAAAACAGGTGGGTATTGTGTGTTGGGTATACCCTAAATCAATCGGTTGTGTGGGTTTAAAGCAAAACAAAACGACATGAGAAGAAACACGCTGTGAGTTCTCCCTCAAAAAGGGACACCCCTATGACTTCAACTGGGGGTTATGAATTACGGGTCGATATGGCCGGCTGTTTGGTTTGTGGTTTTTTCCGTCTTGCCATGTGTTTGTTTTTGTTGTTCTTTGTTCTAATTTGCTCTGCATACATGCATTTGTTTGATTTGGGGCAAGATACGAATGCCTGAGCAACAAAGGAAGTATTCACTGTAAATAATTCTGCAATGTACTCAAGACAAACACATTTGGGAGATGCGAATCAGGAACATTCACAGATGCGCTCCCTCTCTAAGAATCCTCCTTTTCGGTGTCTGGTATCTAAACTAAGGAGCCTCTTGTTGCTCACCAGAAGGTCAGAAGGTACTCTAAGGAGCCCACTGTAGGGTCTTTAGGTGTTGGATCTTTCACTACGACAAGGTTCCCTGGGTCCCCTTTGTAGTGATGCAGTAGAAATCAGGGACATCGGCTTGGGCTCCTTGGAAGAAAAAACACGTGATGCAGAGACGGGGGTTCTACTGAGTTCCAGCTTGAAGCCAAGATCATGCGCGTGGCATCCGAAAGGAACCCATTTGATATGGTTCCATCGAACGGGTCACCCAAACTTGTGTCGTGATGTGCTTCCATTTGATTAAGCATGTGGTTTTCTCCTTTTTTTTAAGTCCCCCGGTTTGAAGGGAATCTAATCTATCACTACTGGAAAAACATGTTGTCCAAGGGGACTGAAGCAAATGGAGGTGTGTTGAGTCTTGAGCATGTCTGGATTTCGGTGTCAGTTGCCAGTGGTTGGCCGTGTCCAGATTTGTGGGACGCCTTGGCCAAACCTGGACAAAGTCTCGGCCTCCTTTTCAGAAAGGCTTTGTCTTGCGAGGTTCTGGCACGCCATGCTTAGTGGCTGGAGGATTCTTTTCCTGCTGGTTACCATACATTTTGGTGGGAAGATCATTTTAGCGGCATGGTTAAACCATTCAAGAATGGAGGAAACAAACATAGCCCCTGGTTGTTTTGTATAGGTGTTCGGCTGGACAGTCAGTGTTTTGGAGTTGAGAGCCCCTATGTTTCCGCCCATGCTTAGTGGCCGGTAATGATAAGGTTTGTTTGTTGACAAACTGTGCATGGACCAACTCCTGCACCAGTTGGTGGGTGGTTTATCCCAGACATGCAGGTTCATCCTAGATGCTTTTCTTTGTCCATCAGTTGGTAGGTGGTTTATCCCAGACATACCGGTTCATCCATCCATCCCAGCTTCTTTTTACTTTGTCCATCCACATGGATCATCCTTGCTTCTTTCCTTTGTCCATCCACAGGGCGTGGGCAGAGCTTCGAAAGCCAAGCACATGATATGGTTGTGGGTCAAAAATAGGTACCCAAAATGGCACGCTGGTAAATGGAAACAACCAAAACCTGTAGTCCATATCCTCTCGATTTAATTTTGACCCATACCCATTTTGGGGTAGGTGAATTCACCCATGTTTTCTTTTTAAAGTGGGGATTGAATCGGATGTTCACCGGGGGTACGGAATTTTGGATTTTGACCCATACCCAGATCCGCGCCGGGGAGGGTTTCTTTTGGGCGTCAGGATCGCCGAGCTGGGCCGAGTGGACCAGTCCAAGCTCCAGCCGTGGTCCCAGGGGAAAACGGTGCCAGGTGCCAGGTGCGTGGCTCGTTTACCAGCGGGTTAGCAGGGCTCCTTAAAAGATACATTTTGCAACCATTTGAAACATGGCTTTTTCCACCAAAATAAATGGACACCACCATCTACAAGGCAATGTTCAGGTGTATAATGTAAGGATTCCTGTTTAGACTCACTTCCTGAGTTCCGTGAAGTGACTTTGGTCACTTTTTGGGGTTGGACCATTTTGGTGGTAAATGAAAGGCTCGGACTGGTTTTGGCCAATCCACTCGGGTTAGTGAGTAGAGGACTCCCTTGCAGAGCAGGTGGATTTGGATGTATCTGAGCTATGCGGCTGCCCTCAGTCACTTGCGCTCCCTGGCCTTCAGAGCTTCAAACATGGGTGTTCTTTTTAGGCGAGCCTGGTTAGAAATAGATGGGTTCCGCTGGTTTAGCTGGGTTTTTTGCAAACCATTTACCAGGGGAACCCATCGATTTTTCCAAGAGGCCGCCTATGGGAACAAACTGAATGCCATTCTCAGAACCAACCCACTTCTACAGCTCGCCTCGGCTCGGTTTCTGAGCCCAAGGCTGGGCTGATTTTAAGCTGGGCAGAACCCTTCCTGGAGGCAGTCCTTGTATTTCCTCACAGGGGGCTCGCTCCAAATGCCAACCCTGACTGAAACTCAGAACCGGAGAGGTGGTGTGGTTTTGTTGTCATGTTTTGATCTGGGTTCCCTGTCAAAGCAATGATTAAAGAAGTGCTGTTTCCACGGCCCCCGGAGAGCAGCGTATTTCCTCAGGTGAAAAGGCAACCTACGCTGTGTTTTGTCAGAGCATGGGCCCCTGTGAACTAGTGATCCACGAGGCAACCCTTAGTGCCAAAGTGGAGGTTGGTCACCCGTCATCCCGTTTTCCACGCTCGCGGGAATTGTGAAATCTACTTTCACCCTGGTGTACTGGGAAGCTATACCCCTTTGTAGCGTTTCACCCTTTCGGGATAGGGACTCACTCTCACCGGTCCAAAGCGAATAGACCTTCTGAGCTTTTGGTGTTCTCGCTTGGACTGCAAGTCAGGGTCCCCAAGATGACTCTGTCGACCTCCAGAGAACACATGGGTGTGTCTTGTCTTTGAGCCCGCAAAATGGGCTTCCGGGTTCCTGTTGGTTTCCCTTTATAGACCAACAAGTGGAACCGGGCCCCAAAAAATGGAACCAGACCATGGGAGAAGCGCCTCGCTAAGGGAGAACGACCTGGTGCGGCTCAGCCTGAGTTCCACTGGAGGAGTGCCCTCCTCTAGCCACCAGGAGGCCGCTCTCGGCTTTGCGAGGTGAGTCGGCGGGCTGGTAGGTGAGTGAGGGTTCCTTATATTGCCACCCTTGGTTGTTTCAAATATCCGCCTTTTGGTTGCCAATTGAGAGATGTTTTCAGAGGAAGCATAGGGAGCCAGGCGCATATAGAAATGCTTGGAGCTCAGAAGCCCCAGTCGGGGCCGGTTTCTTGAAATGAAAACGCCCCACGTTGGTGGCCAACCAACCTGTGCACGGGCGCTGTGGCGCTTGGGTGACACCTGAGCCAGCCCAGGCATCCGGGCTTCGGCGGCAATGCTTCCGCTCAAACCCTCTCAGGGCTCCTTAAAAGATACATCTTGCAACCATTTGAAACATGTTGCCTTTTCCACCAAAAGAAAGGGACACCACCACTTGCAAGGCAATGTTCAGGTGTATAATGTAAGGATCCCTGCCTCTCTTCCATCCAAGCCATCCATCCAGCGTGTGTGGAGTTGTTGCCCTTTCGGGGTTGACTTGCAGGACCAGAGGACACCACCCATGAAAATTCCAGATTTGGAGAACGGCGCTGTTCTTGAAGCACCAGTTGTTTGTTTGTTTGTTTTTTTGTGTCCCAGTTCCGAGCTTGAGCTTCCCCAGTGTGTGTTTGTGTGTGTTTGTGTGTGTGTGTGGTGTGTGTGTGTGTGTGTGTGTGTGTGTGTGTGTGTGTGTGTGTGTGTGTGTGTGTGTGTGTGTGTGTGTGTGTGTGTGTGTGTGTGTGTGTGTGTGTGTGTGTGTGTGTGTGTTTGTGTGTGTGTGTGTTTGTTTGTTTGTTTGTTTGTTTGTTTGTTTGTGTGTGTGTGATCACCTCTTTCATTCTGGAAGTCATCCTGGTTTGTTTCGAAGGCTTGCTGCTTTTGCTTTTGTGGTTGTTGGCGGTTGGCGGTTGTCTTTGTTGTATTTTGATGTGTCTTTGTTGTATTTTGATGTATATAGTGTCTTGCTTTGTTGTTTTGGGCGGCCGGGTTGTTTGTAGTCTCTCGTGTCCCGTAGGCGAGTTTATTATGCATGGGGTGTCTTCATTTCTCTTTCTCATTTCTCATCAGATGAGGACATGTAAAAGTCTAGAAACACAGATACTTCTAACGGCCTATTCGTCCATCACTCTTGTCTTTTGTACGGCTCGTCATGTTTGGATAATCTCTTCGGCTGTGTGCGGTGGGTCAAGAGGTGAGGCAATGGGGGATCTCCAGAGGCACTGGGACACTGCCAAGGATGGGTTTCCGTCGTATGGACATCTCCCTCAAAAGATGGAGAAATCAAGCCGCGGGTAAATGAGGCCAGCCCAACCTTTGGTCTCCAATTGAAGTTCATGCAGCAGTTTCCCTCAAGTGACAGCGATTCCCTGGACGACCCCTTGAACAGCCACAAATGGGAACCAGCTCCAAAAAAAAGGACACGCCCATGCTGTGACGCATACATTCAGTCTTTGGCATGAGCATAGGTGTCTTTTTTTGTTTGTTTTGGTAGACAAACAGATGGCGATTCCTGGTTTGCCTGGTGGTTTACTCATCTACCAGGGCCTGTACCACCTATACCTGGTCCATCACATGAAAATCCAAATGAGTGCTCCATCTATTTGCCCTAAAAGGACACCTATGGACATGAGCCTTTCGCGTGAATCGGGAGGTCCTGGGTGAGTGTGGCTTCTCCGAGCGCTCGCTGGAGAATTCCTACGGCGCGCACCCGTCCGGGTGCCCCAGCGTCTCTGAGCGTCTGGTGAGTTTCGTTTTGAACATCTATATGGAAGGGGTCCTCACTTTTGGACAGTCCGACTGGGTGCCTCAAAATGGGAGGTCCGATGGTTTTCCGAGGACGCGAAGACGGGCCCAACCTGATTCTCTTTCTTTGAGATAGACTGCAAGTCTTGAAACAGAGCTGGTAGACCCCAAGGTGTCCACACTTTTCTCGGAAGCTGCTCACATGTGTTTTCACTCTTTTTGGCCAACCGGATGGCTGGCAGCCCTATTGAGAAATTAGGCCTTCCCCGTGTGGGTTTCTTTCAAGGAGCCGTCTAGAAAACGGTTTGGATGTGGCTGTTGTGGATCCAACCCAGGATATTAAAAGTGCTGAAAGATCACTAAAAAAGGACCAGCGGGGGGAAAGAGCAGGTGAATTCCACAAAAGGCGCATGCAAACCGTTTGCTAGAACTGTGACCCGGCCACGCACGAAATCTTAAGATATCCCGCCCTGGTTTGCTCAATCTCACGGATGGCTCCTTTGAGGGTCTCTCTTTTCAGTGGATGTGTCCTGGAATCCTGCATGGCAACCCTACAAGGCAACGGGGAGACATGTCAGTTCGCCCACTTGTTTGTCTCTCAACACTCATTTTGCCGGGCGATATTGCCCTCGGGTTTGCTGCCAACTCAAACAAGCAAACCCATGCATACATGGGTGTTTTTTAGGGGCACCCCCAAGTGGTGGTTTTCCTTTTGTTTCACAAAGCAGGGGACCCCTTGCAAAAAGACACACCCACACAGTTCCATGTTTCGCTTTAAGAAGCCCTTCCTGGGCTGTTGGGGGGGGCCGGGGGGGGGAGGGATATTTGGCCACATTGTTTTTAGCCGCTTGCACGGATTGGCTGGGGTACATTCCTTTGGGTATGGCTCAACACTGAAATTGGATGATTCATGTTTCCTCCCTTCCTCTCCGAACAGTATGCCACACCTCCGAGGAATTCCATCAGCATCAAGTTCCTGAAGCACCGAGCTGGGGCGACCCAGGAGCTTCCTTCACCCGAGATCTCCCGCATTTTTGGTTCGAATCTTTCGGGAATGATGCTACCCCCATGGTACCCCCATGGTAGAAACAAAAACAAACATGTGACACCCCGCAGGCTTTCGACATAATGGGATGGGATTGGTCCCTTACTCCATGTGCAAGAATCGATTGGCCGACTCCGCACCACTTTTTTTGAGGGGAAGATGATGTCAATCCCTTTCTGCGATGGCCTCCCTGCGTTTTCGCAGCGGCTGAAAGCGGTCTGCGGTCCGACGTCCACACCCCCGCAACGCCCCGAGCAATCCAAACCTCTTTCCTTGGTCACCAGTTGTTGGACCCAGATGTTCTAGTATGAGTCATTCCTGCAAGAGAGCAATCCATGCAGGGACGCTACAAATACCTAGTGTTTTCTTGTAGTCAGAAGTTGCCGAATCATGCCAAAAGCCGCTTGTAGAGTTCCTTAAAAGTGCGATGCTTGATACGCCCGTAAGGCCTCAATGGTGGGGTTGTGGTCGTTGGAGCGGTTGTAGGGTCCCTGAATCGCCACGCCCTTACAAATGGAATTGGGGAAGGGTGCATTTCGACTCGCGGAATTCGACTCATGATTCCTTGGGGCAGACTACAAAAATAGACGTAGGGAAGGAGGGCCTTTTCATGTCACCGCCCTCTTCCCGTCAAGACGAGGAGGGATTTTGCATTGCAAGGCCAAATTGCACTTCATTCAGGCCTTATTTTCCAGGAAACGAGGGGAAGTCGGAGGGGGGGGGGGGGCGGAGATATGATTTTCACCGAGAATGCGAACACCTCTAAAGTCGGGATACCCCAGGAAGGGTGCTCGCTTCCTAAGTTCCGTTAAAGGGACGTCGGTCACTTTTTGGGGTTGGACCATTTTGGTGGTAAATGGACCAATTTGGTGGTACCAAATTAGATTTGGTGAATCTAAAACAGTTCCTGGACTTTGTTTGGCCAGCCACTCGATGGGAGTATGAAAGAGAGTTTGCCGAGGTCAAGGTGGAGGCAATGGAGCTGCGGGCGAAGATCGCCGACGCACCTTGCCCGAAAGGGTTTTGTGGGGTGTGGCTTAGCAGCATGGGGTTTTCCTTTTTGGATTTTGCGACCCAAAACCACCAAGGGTTTGTCTTGTTTTGGGGGGGGAAAGGTCCAACATGGGTTGTTGTTTTCCTTTGAAAACTGCAATTGACATCACGCCCATTTGACTGTCTCATCCATGCATTTGGTTTGCGGCTTACAGAGGGGCCCCTCTTACTCAGCCAAACGCGGCTCGCACCCATGGAACCTTTTCCATCAGCTGGAAAACAACGTGTGCGCCTTTGAGCAGGGCGATTGCATTGGTAGCGGAGCAGGAGACGCTCCAGGCGGTGAATCTCATCAACACGATCGCGAGCCCTTCGGCCCGATCAGGGAGATCATGGATGGCAAGGAGACGGTCCCTACCTGGGACGGTGCACCAAAGGGATGGCGCCGCTACTGCAAGGAGATCTCGTGGTACGTCAGAGGCAACAAGCAGAACATGCGGAGGTACCTTGCGACGAGGCTCATCTCGAAGTTGACGGGAACCGCAAGGTTGCTGGCGATGAGTTGGTCGCAATCGGAGTTTGACACCGAGGACGGCGTCGCGAAGTACCTCCGGAAGCTTGCAATGAGCCCTCTGGTCCGCCGCAGTATGCCGAATGCGGCGGCGATCATGAGTCAGTACTTTGCCTTCAAGAGGTACTCCAACGAGAAGGTGTCGGATTTCCTTGTGCGGGAAACTCTCGGCTTTGAGGAGTTTCAGGAGGCGCTCATCCGGTTGAAGCAGGAACGGAGCGGGGTGGACCCGAGCAAGAGAACGTTTGGGCTACCTCCCCCTGGTGATCCTGATCGTGATGAAGATCTTCAGGACTGGTGGTCTCCCAGTCAGTGGGATCGATGGAGGCAACGCGGTGGCAGCCGCGTGGACGAGACGTCGGAGGCGTCCAGCCGTCGGAGGACAAGGGGATATCAGAGGGTGGCTCAAGAGGAGGAGGAAGCTGCGGATGCAGATGATCTTCAAGAAGATCGAGCCACAGATGCGGCTTCAGCTCAAGCCCAACCTGCAGCAGCATCACCCCAGGCTGGACGGGATCAGGCAGAAGCTGCACCTCAACCCGTACGTCAAGAAGCTGCTGGAGCTGCCGCAGGCACAGCAGATGCGGTTGAGGAGGAGGAGCTCAACGTGATGGACTCCTTCATCATCAATGTCCTGCGGGGATGGAGGTTGCTGGTGGCAGCATCTCTGAGCCCGGAGGAATGGAGAGACATCCTGAGCACCACGAACGGGAGGCTGGACTACGAGAGCATCAGCGATGCGTTGCAGACCCTGTGGGATGAGCAGCTGACGGCGACGAGATTTCCTACGTCGGCCCCGGGACATCATCTTCATGCTGCCGAAGCAGAGTCCTTCGTCTCGTATGTGGACGACACGGGCTATGGTGATTGGGGTGATGAATGGGGCGATGGTTGGAACAATGGATGGCAGTACTATGTTGGCTGGCAGGACGAGGACGCGAACACGTGGGAGACAGATGCAGGAGGACACGGAGATGATGCAGAGGATCCTCGCCTACAGGAGATGCACAAGGCGGAGAAGGACGCCGAGATCATGGCCATGGAAGCCAAGAGAACATGGTCTCAAGCACAGCAGGCCACGGCGGCCATGAGACGGGAGCGTGGGTTCGCCACGCCAGTGGTGCCGGGAGCAAAAGGAAGCAGTGGTTGTTTCATCTGCGGGGGCAACCACATGGCCCGTGAATGCCCAGACAGGCAGCATCCTGGTGTGAGAAAGGGTAAAGGATATGGTGGAAAGTCGTTTGGAGGCAAGAACCCGGGCAAGCACGCGCACTTCATGGACCCGGACTGGCATTGGGATTTGGCCTTCCAGAAGGGGAAATATAAGTCGAAAGGCGCGAACTGGGCGAACGTCTACGACGCTGCCTACGCGTTCCCCTTCGGCAAAGGGAAGGGCAAGTTCAAAAATCCGAAGAGTGGTCAGGTCAATGCCTATGTGGCGGACTACTATGGACTGGAGATGGAAGCCGGAGCTCGTGCTCATGGAAATCTTCATGCAGCTGAAGCAAATTCTGCACGGGTGAACGCGGAGCGTAAACCCAGCCAAGGCATGCTGGACACCGGTGCCACGGCAAGTGCTGGCCCAGAAGGTGCTGTCCAAGGGCTGATCCAAGCCCTTCTGGCAAAAGACCCAGGAGCGACAATCAAGATTGACCAGAGCCGTCGCCCATACTTTCGCTTCGGGTCAGGGAAGTGGGGACGTGGAGAATATCATGTTGATCTTCACTCCACAGCATCAGGAAAACTCAGGAACTTTTCCGTGTGTGTGCTTCCAAACCCCAGCAATTACCAGGATAGCGATGAGGGCAGATCCCTTCTTGTACCTGTACTTGTTGGCATGGACTTTGCGGGGGACAGCGGTACAGGCATGGTTGTGGATCTGGTGGACGGAAGTTGTGTGTTCTCGTTGATCGACCCCCATCAGCACTATCACCTTCAGCAGAATTCTAAGGGACACTACATGGTGGATCTTGTAGAGTACCTTACCGGGGGAACCTCAGTGCCGCATGGTCATGCAAATATCATTCTTGTCGAGGAACGCAAGGTGACGTTTGATCATGATATTGAAGTCCTGGAACTGCATGGATTGATGTCTGAGCAGGAGAGGTCGGAGTCTTTTCGCCTACTGCTGCAACGAAGACGGGATCTGAATCGGACCGGACCGGCAGCGGTTGGGCTCAGACCCATGCAACAGGAACCTGAGCAGCCCCTGGGAACCCCTTCCTCGACAGCGCCGCTAGTGAGTCATGGCCGTAAAGTCGCCGGATTACCTGGAGGTGCTGGAGAAGCAGATCTCGAAGGAGAAGGAAGGGAAGCAAATGCAGGCGATGGAGAAGCATCGGGCCATGACGATGGACGGGAGAGATCCTCGAGCGTCAGGCCAGCAATGGCCATGCTATGGCGAGCACGAACCGATGCACTATCGGAGCAACAAGTGGGGAGTGTGGCTACACTGCAGCCATTGCGCGTTGCGCCTGATCTACGTGCCGAAGAAGGGAGCTCCGTCGGACCACACGGAGGTCAAGAATCAACGGGACGTGCTGAAGGCGCTGGAGATGCTGGAGGCGGACTTCTCGAGCATGAAGGGCATCATGCCGACGGAGGAGATGGTCAGGGTGGCGATCGACAAGCACACTACCAACCAGCGCTACGTGGACGTGCTGGTCAAGTGCAAGGAGAAAGGAGTGGTGGCGAAGAAGGAGAAGGGGTATCAGACGACAGCCTCGGCACCGAAGTCCCCTTCAAGCGCCGCCGGTTCATGGGGTGTGCTCGAGGAGCCAGAGACGCCCACCCTAGAGCAAGAGATTCTCAAGCACATCACGACGGAAGAGCTCGTCAGAATCAAGGAGGTAATGCGAGAGCGTGCGATAAAGGCGCAGGAGGATGCGGAGATGCTGACTACGGAGCAGTTGCGGAAGCTGCCAGTGGAGGAGAACTGAAGGAGTTTCTTCCGAAGTACGTAGCCAGCCAGGCCTTGGAGATGCAGAAGGATGCTCAACGCCATTTGGCCATGAGCGCGCAGGAGCTCTTGTATGGAGATGAGGACGCGCTGTGGGAGTTCTTCTGCGCTCCGGACAGTTGGCTGTCCCATGCCGCGGAACGGGAAGGGCTACAGCACATGCGGGTGAACCTTGCGAATGATCTTGATCTCTACAAGCCCGAGACCTACGAGGTGCTGGCGAACCTGGCGGTGATCAAGAAGCCCCGGAGGCTGTGGTTATCGATGCCATGCACTAAGTGGAGCACGTGGGCAAGGTTGAACTCAGAGATCGACCGGAAGTGCTGTCGAAGTTCCGACGCAGGGAAAGGAAGATGATGCGGATCTTCGCCAACTGGCTTGGACAAATGCTTGGAGCTGGTTATCGCCCGGATTACTACCACGAGTGGCCTACGCACTGCGACGGGTGGAATGTGCAGGAGATGGAGCAGATCCAGCGCATCCTGGTGTACCACGGCTACCGCATTTTCTGGTGTCGTATCGACGGATGTCGGTACAACCTACGCACGCGAGACAACAAGCAACTGCTGCGGAAGCAATGGACCATCATGACCACGGACGAACGCTTCTACGCGATGTTCAGGAACAAGACATGCACCGGCGGTCATGATCATGGAGAAATTGCTGGCGGGGAGACGGCAGCGACGGCCTACTACCCGTGGAACATGTGCCGCAGCATTGCAAGACTCTGGAGGCAACAGGAAGTACCGGACAGGGTTCTCAAGAAGCTCTGGATCAAGGAGGACTTGGACCTCTCGAATGAGGACTACCTGGAGGTCGTGCTTCATGCCGCTGAGGGTGAAGACGCAGAGCCAGACGCCGCGGGCGACGAGGACATCGAAGATCTGCGAGAAGAGAGACCAGACGCAGAGCTGGTGCCATCGGAGGCGGAAAAACAGATCTGGCTTGCAAAGGTGAAGAAGTTTCACGCCGCAGCGGGGCATCCGGGAAACCGCAATCTGGCCCGGATGGTGAGAGACGCGGGAAGACCAGCGTGGCAGATCCGCATGGTGTTGGATTACAAGTGCCCGCAATGTGAAGCACTCCGACCAGGTGGAAGTAGTTCAGGACAAGTTCCACCGGCTTCGACAAAGCCTCTCCCAAAGGCATGGTCACAGGTTGGCATTGATATTGCGGAATGGCTGCCTCCCAACAGCCAGCAGAAGTATAAGTTCATCCTCTACATGGACATGGCAACGAAGTACAAGGTGGTGGATGTTCTGAAGACCTACAACCTGGACCAGCAGCATGCGGAATCGGCGGAGGATGTCATCGCAAGCTTTGCAGCCAGGTGGCTCATGGACAAGCCCAAGCCACAGTTTGTGATCCCCGATTCGGCCAAGACGCTGACATCGACGAAACTGCGGGAGTACCTCTCGGACCTCAACATTGCGCTGCAGCATCCGGCAGAGAAGGAAGGATGGGCGCATGGTGTCATCGA